GAAATTAGTCATACATTTTTAGTCAGTGTGGAATTCATACATGAAAATAGGCATACACATTTTTGGCAATATAGAATTCATACATGAAAACAGTGTGAAATTCATACATAAAAAGAACTATACATTTTTTGGGTTATATAAATTCATACATGAAAACAACCATACACTTTTTGACAGTGTAAAATTTAAACATGAAATCACTGACACATAAGATAATGGACATTACACTCTAACATGAAATTAAGGAACACAATAATACATTTACACATTGCTATAAGATATAACAAATAACATATATCCATTCTACAGTCTCATCAAATACTCACATATAAAAAACCACATTGCCCAAAATAGTTATATTTTTTGGCAGTGTGTAATGAATATTTACTGTTTAATTAAGGACAAAATTGGAATCGCAGCTACGAAACATATAGCACTACTATTTAGAATATTTCAAGGCCCTAAGAGTGTTATTTTGGTTTTTTTTCCTTAAAAAAATAAAATTCTTTAATTCATGCATTAGAATAATCATTCATTTTATAATTTAATAATATTTTATATTTTATGAGTATTTTTTATGAAATAAGAATATTTATTTAATATTTAATTCATATACACATTAAAAAGTAATTAAATTTAGACAATCCATATGGAGAAGAGATAGTATTTTTATTAAAATATTTCATACTTATAAAATATCAACGTGTGCTTTGTACTACGAAACCTTTTTTATGATTAATATAACATCATAGATATAATAGTTATTTCAGTTACACTAAAATGTACTCCGTATATGAATATCAAATGTTAAAACTTGAAGGACCAACTATGGAATTTAGCCCGTGGCATTTTAAAGAAAAAAGCATTTTTTGTTACTTTTATCTAAAAATAGACACGAATCATTTATATTTGAAAGCTCTTTGCCATCTTTAAAAATCAAATAATACCCTAAGTATTTACTAATTATATTATAATATGCTAGAATTTTATTATTTTTCCTCTTTCTTTTCATATGCTAGAATTATGGAATTGGGAGTCTGTAGAATTTTTTTAGATTTTTAAAATCTGAGTGTATTCAATATGGATTTTCAAAAGTTTTTAAAAATCTTGAGATATTCAATAGAGATTTTCCAAAATCTTTAAAAATATTGAAGTATTTAATTTGGATTCTCAATAATCTTTAAAAATTTTGAGGTATTCAAAAATCTATAAATTTTAGTAATCTGTGAATTTTGTTGGATTGTCTCTCAAAAAATGCTTCACATTTCACTCCGGAAAATCATTTCTCACAACCCTATATTTCTATGAAATTCTTTCCGGCTTATATCCTTAAACCCCAACCGCTCCAGAAGATAAAATGGACAAAAGGTTGCCGTTCGTCGATTGGGTCAACTTCTTTGGCATATGGTTGCCGTTCTTCTTCTCCATTGACGAGTTCCCAGAGATCTGAGTCGTGGAGGTGCAACAGAACGAAGATGAAGTTGAACTCTCGTCGTAGCGGAGATCGGAGTTAGGTAGGTCTCGAAGATGAACGGGTCGAGTGAGGCGGCGGCATCGAAATGAGGGTTTTTGAGTTCAGGGTTGTTTCCGCTGCCGCATCGGATTGAGGTATTTGCTCCATCAACCTGTTCTCCCATGGCCTCGCCGCCATCCATCGCTCCAACCAGCTCTAGTTGTTCTGGTCCAAATTGCAATTCTTCAAAGATCCGACGGAGTTTGCCGCCTTGTGAGGCTTGTTCTGGACTTTTTCAAGGTCATCATCAATGGCTTCCATTGGTTGTAGCGGCTGTTTCTGATCTGCACTTCTCTGTTCTTGGGCTTTTCTTCTTCTGCTCAATCATCAATGACTGTGTTTTTTTACTATGAAATTTCTTACATTAGTAATTCATCTCCTCTTGGCGTGGAGGAATAGCAGCAACATTACTATTCCAAAATCTACATGTTTTTCAAACTCTATATAGATTCTACAAATTTTTCTAATTCTACATGGATTCTATAAAAAATCAACAAACTCTACATGAATTCTACAAATTTTTCAAATTTAACTCTTTGAAATCTTAAAAAAATCCTACAAAATCCTAATATAATATACCCCTTAATATGCTTGACCCAGTCTCTCGTCTGGGTCTATGTCTTGTCCCATTTTTAGAACATTGCTAGTTTTTCCCTCATGTCAATTCATTATCAAGTCAGCTTTTCGTTTTTCTTCCCCTTCAATTCCCTTCTCTTTTTAGGGGCAGGCATCCTTTTCTTTGATATGATCTTTATTTCCCTTCAAAATTTTTAATACTCCCTCCGTCCCCCAATTTTTGTCCATTTTCATTTTTACACACCATCCAATTCACTTCTTTAATCCATTTTATCTTGTAATTTGTATATTAAAAAATTATAAAAATTATATATTAATAATCTATATGTTAAGACAAATCAAACAAGATCATACATGACTATATTTAGGCTTACATATTGAGAGAATTTGATGAGTCAAAGTGCTCAGATGAACAGTTCCAAAAATCAAAAGTAGACAAAAATTGGGGGACAGAGGGGGTATTATTTTTTTACCCCTTATTTTAATTAAAACAATTAAACTAAAAACATAAACAACTACAATAACATTTACTATTTTAGAATTTAAAATGAACAATTCATTAATATTAAAATAAACTTGACGCTTGAATTTTTTGTCATTCTTGAAATTATTGCATGCATTTGGAATGAGTTCGATACTTGAGTGTAAGCCGCAAATGCAGAAAAAAGGAAGAACTTAAGGAAGACACAAATGGTTAGAATGGATTGTACTCAAAAATAAACAATGCTACAATTCAAAGAGATGGATGAAAGTGTGTGAAAATGATGAGAGGAGTTAATGCGTTTAAAAAATGAATTTTTTTTGAATTTTATTTTTAAAAATGGTTAGAATTCATATAAAAATAGCTAATGACCGTTCAGCAGTTAATTTTTGGAGAAGGGAGACGCATGGGAAAACCGGAAGGGGATCATGCCTTTCTCGTTCCTGCATAGGAGGGCGGTGTTCCCCTTCTTCGCGGGCGCCTAATAGCATTCCCACAATCCTTCCTCCCCGTGTGACAAGTCAGCTTCCCGTTGGGTTCCCCGTCTCCCATACCTCTCAACCTAAGAGTGGAGGGTATGCATATTTTATATAGCTTCAATTATCTGATATTTAAAAAAAAATAAGATATTTTTGGGGTGGGTTGTAGAGAGAATTGAGATTTTAGAATATTTTTTTGATGAGTTGTAGTGAGATTAGGTGCTTGTTTGTATTTTTTGAGAGAATATTTATAGTTAAAAAAATCTAAAATTGTTTAAAGGCCAACAACTTGATTTTGGATCGTTGGGGGGGGGGAGGGGTTGGGCGACTTGTTCCTCTTCCTTTCTCGTGTTAAACGTTTAACGCAATACCGATGATACCCCGATAATAACGAAGGGGGTGGTGTTCCACGATCCAATAAGGCATGAGGGCGTTAGGCGCGTTAGGCGTATTTTCAGTGTCCTTAAAAAGTAAACCCATAGACTAAAGAGAACCCCAACCCACCGTCTATCAAAATCTCTCCTTGCGTCCAGCCCGGCTTAGGGTTAGATCGTTTCAAATTTTCTGAATTAGCCACTGGTTTTGATCTATAAATCGGACCGAACCTGTGACCAGAACTCTGGTTCTCAATCCGAACCGACCATTCCAATTTTTAAAACTATACTTTTTCAACTGACTCTCTCAAATGTACAGTAGCATTTAAAATTAAGAGCGCGCGCTTTAATTAGTACGGAATAATCATCCTCATAATCATGTAAAAAATTCCTGAACATTCACTGAACGAATCCAGAAATTCCTGTCAGATTTTGCTTTATCGTTTCCGATATGACCTCCGAATCCTTATTTTTCTGCATTTTTCTCTGCAGATTGTGAATTCAGAGCTATGAATTTCGTATTCGCCGCTTCTCTGTTCGTCGCCGCCATTTTCGCTTTCTGCAGTTGCGCAGCTCTCAAGGTACGGCGCTCTTCATCGTTCTTCATCTTCATACGAGAAGCGTTTCATTTCGTCTAGTATCCTTACATCGGTTTCCATTTTTCCGCATCTGGTTTTGCTTGTCCGGAACAGCAAGGAGAAACTTGCGTCTCCAATGACTCGTGCGGTGCCGGGCTTCATTGTGAGAGATGCATTGCGGAGGCCAATTCTGTGCCCAGGTGTGCTCGCATTCAACCGGTTAATCCATTCTCCAAGGTAATTTGCCTCGATCATCAGTTGAATGGACTAATTGAGGACAATTATGATTCTAGGTCATTAAAAAATTGAAAGTTAATTGAGGTTGGGGATGATTCTAGGTCAAGGGGTTGCCATTCAATCGGTATTCGTGGCTGACAACACATAACTCATTTGCCAAAGCGGGTATGAAGTCAAGCACAGGACACTTCCTTGTGACAACACATAACCAGCAGGACTCCATTACTGAACAACTGAATGTAAGTATTGTTCACTGCAGTGATAGAGTTAAGAACTGCTTCACCAGTAATTTTTGCAGTTGATTGTATTATGTGATGATTGCTCTGAGGTAGTGGGGACTAAATGTGGTGTTGAATTTTAGTTGGACTTTGATTTTAAATTAATGGAAGCTAGGATCTGCAAAATGGTAACAGAATACGGCAATAATTTTTGTTTAATTATTAAAATTTTTAAGTTAAGGGAAGTTATGAATCCTAGGTACAATGTATGCGAACTGAAAAATCAGCTGATCAATTTATATGGATATATTGAATATAAATTTGATTTTTGTTTTTCTAGATGTATTTAAATATCTAGACTTATGTACTTATGTGTTGGTCTAAGGTTTGTGACTGAAAGCTCAATGGAATCCACACAACAGACTTCTTGGTCTTCAATATGTTTTCCTTGTGAAATTAATAATTGAGAACTCTTCGCCCACTGCATTTTTCTATGCTAGAGAGTGCAAACCATGGATCAACATAACCACAAGCATAGCTTTTTTACTTCTGTGTTGCTGTTAGTCGCATTTACTTTATGGTGCCTTCAGATTTATGCTTTGTTCTGTATTTTATGAACTACACAAATATTCATATCCTTGATGTTGTGTTTTTTAAACCTTCCTTGGTGTTGTCTTATTTTAACCTTACGATGCAAGGGGTGTTAGGATTGGAGAAGAGACAAATGTATTACAAATGTTCAAGAAACAATGAGCACTAATAATTTTCTTAAATGTAACTGCTGCAGAACGGCGTAAGGGGTTTGATGCTTGATATGTACGATCTGAACAATGATATTTGGCTGTGTCATTCATTTGGAGGAAAATGTCACAACTACACTGCTTTTGTAAGTGTACAACAACCCACCAAAGTCCCACGCGGGGCTTTTTAAATTATGTTGTCAATTTTAGAAGCATAATATGAATGCTCCATGGTAGATTCCTTATGGCACTTTTTATTCAATATAATGGTGCATGATTAACCTGAAATAGCATTATCACCATTATGTTTCAGAGTTTTTAGGAGCACGCTTTACTCCGGTAAGAGTTAACAATCTCTATCATTTTATATTGATTCTATTTTATACTGGCAGCAACCTGCAATAAATGTCCTTAAGGAGGTTAGAGTGTTCCTTGAAGCAAACCCTTCAGAAATTGTCACCATTATAATTGAAGACTATGTTGCAAGCAAAAATGGAATAAGCACTGTTTTTAATGCGGCTGGCCTGGGGAAGTTCTTGTTTCCTGTTTCTCTGATGCCTAAAAATGGCGGTGAATGGCCAATCATTGATGATATGGTCCAGCGTAATCAACGGCTAGTGGTTTTCACTTCTAAGTCTGAAAAAGAATTTTCAGAAGGCATTGCTTATACATGGACATACTTGGTAGAAAATAAATGTGAGTTCCTTTTTTCCCCTCAATTTTTCATACACTCGTTCCAAAAATTCAGTAGTCATTGCTTTGTACTGATGCTCTACTCTCGTTTTGTAGATGGGGATGATGGGATGGTAAATGAATCATGTACCAATCGTGCAGAATCACCTTTGCTGAACTCGCTAACTAGGTCACTAGTTCTTATGAACTATTTTCCCAGTGCGCCAGATGTTTCTCAAGCTTGCATACACAATTCAAGACCATTGAAGAGCATGATGTATACTTGCTTTGAAGCTTCCGGCAAAAGATGGCCCAATTTCATTGCTGTTGATTTTTATATGGTACTTCTATGGAATGTTCACTCCTTTAAGATGGGGAAATAACCTTCTTGTTCTATGTCATTTTATGAGTAAATGGACTTTGCAGAGAAGTAATGGAGGGGGCGCCCCAGAAGCTGTTGATGAGGCAAATGGTCATCTAGTCTGTGGCTGTGCAAACATTGCATATTGCAAGGTTAAAGAGTTGAAATAAACCTCTAAGCTTCATTTGACTTTACAACTAGTTATTTTGTAATGAAAAAAAACCCACAAAGTTCAAGGGTCTCTTGGAAACAATAATCTCTTTACCTTCCCAAACGTACTATTGCGGGATTTTACTGATTTTGTTGTTACTGTCGTAGTTGATTTGTTGAACGAGTTGATCATGTCTTTTTCATTGAACGTTGTATGCAGGACAATATGAGTTTTGGAACATGCGAGATGCCTCAACCGGACATTTCTCCAGCTGAAATGCCAGGTTCAGGAGAAACAAGCCTTGCAAATCTGGAAAGAATTTCAATTGCGTTGCCATGGCTTCCCATGATGTGGTTATTGTCTCTTATCATGTGGTAACACTAAAACCCTTCTTTCCAACTTTTTTTATAGCTGTAAGTGCTTGTAAAGTTGTTAGCTGAAGAGATGCTGCCTTATAACTACGCAAATCTCCTTGTCAAGCCACTGAATGATAAAGTTGCACAGCATTAGGGAGACAAATGGTTGAAAAGAAACTGGGATATAGCCTTTTAAAGTGTGGTCTGCCTTTTATGTGTTGGAAAAAGTGGGGTGTTTCATAGTATTTGGTACTGCTTATCCCATTGGTTTGGGAAGGTTCTTTAGTTTTGCCTTACACACATTCACAAATACACTATATGGGGGTAAAAGTAGAGGGTTTTGCTAGGGGTACCTTAGCTTGTGTATACCAAACTTGTTACAGACACACAAACAGTTGATATCTTAATGTGTCTGTGATAAACTTGGTGTAGTACAGAAGCTGGGGTATCCTTAATTTTTCGAAAGTAAAACAAGATAGAGGTAGGGGATGTGCATTGACCAAAATAAGAAATACACACTCCAAATTTGAAATTGAAAGTAAATAACCCATGTGCTCCAATCCATGCTCAATCAAAATAATATGAACGATCTGTTTATTTACTGTAAAAAACAAGAAAACATCTCCGTCGATACTGCGATATGCGCTCTAGAGTACTATAAAAATTATGGCGATACACATAAAAAGCAAAAATTAAAATACTTTTGTTTTAGGAACAACTTTTATAATTTGACTTCACCAAAATTAATTTGAAAGAGAAACTCAATAATCTACACATATTTATTTCATAAAAAGTGTAAAAATAATTTTTAAACATCCAAAAATAAATGCAATGTTTTTTCAAAGTCGGAGGGAGTTCAATAACGAAATGCAAGAAACTTCGAATCATAGATGACAATGTAATTTATGAATTGTGGGTGGACAATAAACAATTTGGACTTCCATATGATCTTGTTGGTACCATACAGGAGTGGAACTACAACGATTAAGTTTATTTCAAAAGTTGTGTATTTTTCTTTCAATTTTCCTTTTAAAAGTTTTGTACTTTTTTGTTTTAAAATTTATTGAAAATGTATTTTTTTTAAAAAAAAAATTATTACGTAGTAAAAGTTAAGCTTTTGTAATTAAAACAAGTACTCCGTAGTTAGTAAGGCCGGCCGCAGTTACTACGGTTAGTTCCTTCACACAGTGACTTGCAATTTCTAAGTGATAGGGAAAGAGAGAAACACTCGAATCTGGCGTGGCGAAGCCCCCTCTCTTCTTCGTACATGGGATAAATTTTTGAGGAATGGTGGAGCCTTGTTGGACAACAATTGAAGGCAAGAGTGGGGTGCCTAGTGGGGGTCGCAGGTTGCTGGACTAGACTGCAACATGATTTTTTAAAGGGTAATGTGAAGGATTATGCTATGTGCACCCCAAGATTTATACCCTAGTTTGTACCCCGCAGTTTTGCACCAACATTTTGTGTTGGTGTAAAACTAATTTTTGTTAACGCACCAACATTTGTGTCCATGTAAACTTTTATTAACGCACCAACACTTGTGTCGGTGTAAACCATCAAAATGTTTGTGCAAAACTGTGGTGTATAAATGGGGTATATTTTTTTGGTGTAAGTGTAGCATGGTCCTAATGTGAAAGCTTCAATAGGTCATGTGGAGAATGTTGTTGGAATGAGTTTGGTTGCTCGAGATTATAATGACATCTTTGTGACCGCCAGAAATATTACTAAAATGCACTTGTATCTTTTTTTTCTCTTGATCGATTCTCTATCTCTTTAATTTGTTTGTTTATATTTTCTTTTTGATTGACATTGTAAAAGTTATGGACATTATTTACGGATCTAAGAGATGGTAAAAATGGAAGTCATTAAATCATGCATAACAGACATTAACAAAGTAGTGATTAACAAAGTAGTGACGAGACACTGACATTAGCATTTTAATTTGTGATTGGCGGCCAACGAAGGACGGTAGGACATGATGGAGCAGTAAACAGAAAATCGTATTAAGGGCATTTTAGTACACTAGAATTAAGATTTACGGAGTAATTATTAATTAATTGATTAGATACTAGTTATGAAAATGAATTCTTGTTGTGTTATATAGGAAAATTCAATATATTTTAGTGTTATTTAAGTAAATCCCCTATTGTAAATTTAATTGTAGCTATGTACAGAAGAAACTTTTCTCAATAAAAGTAAAAAAGTATGAAACTACCAAAATAAAATTGTTAAATCCTTTAAGAACAAAATGGAAGCATAATTACAGTGTGATATAAGAGTACGTGTTATCGGTGTGATGAAAAGGTGATGTTAGTGTAATATGGTAGTGTGATCAGTCAACCATTTGCAATCCGCGACGGCACTCTGGTGACCGGCGGCAGTGACGGATGACCGTATAACAATGATAGTATGACAGTTACAATATAACAATATGGTGAGTATGACAGTGTAATAGTGGTAGTCTAAACTCTGTTTTTGATTTTAAAAGACTTAAGTTTTATTTTGATATTTTTATACGGAGTAATTTTTTACTCTTACCCAGGGAGTTCTCCTTATGTACAACGTATAACAGTTCTCTCCTTTGACGAATTAAATTCTTGATTTGAATTAGAAATTTTAAAATAGATGGAATAAAATATGTGAATTTAATTTGATGACATAAAGAGTGTTAAAAGTGTCACCATATTATATAAATTTGAGCAATGCTAGGGGTACACCTTTCCCAAATGTACACCACACACTTCTCTACCACCCATTTTTATTTTAATTTTTTTTAATTTCTTGCCCTTTTTTTGTGGACAAGGAGAGGGTGAGGGACAAATGAGGTACACATTTGGTGCACCCCTAGCATTTATCTATAGATTTTGCCACAATGTACTGATATTTAGAGTTGTCTCCGAAAAATCGGGGCCCAAAACGATATAGTGAAAATGGGTCCTTGTAATATATGGAGTAATAAGTAAAGTCTACCAATAAAACTTCACCAAGGTTCCCATGACATTGAAACCCAATGTCATGGAAACCCCACCCATAAAACTTTCTTAACAACTACGGACGGAGTATTAATTTTTCAGATAATTTTTTCTAGAGTTATACTCCGGGGTAGTTAAAAGCCAGGGGAATCTAATTATGATACTCTTCATTTGTTTGTTATGGAGTATTAAATTCAAAATATTTATAATTTTTTAAATATGATTAAATCATTTTTAAATTTTAAAATGAACACGCTTTTTGAGACCAGAAAAAGCACATATTAACCCCCACTTTATGACAAATAATCTATGATGATTTGTTTGTGTAGAAAATAACAAAAATTATTTGAATTGTAAAATTCAAAATTCCTAAAAACCATATATAAATAGGCAAACCAAAAAATACAAATTCATCATCATTATACACCTCAGCGGTAGAACAAACGCATTGCCAGAGAAGAAGAGAGAGAGAGAGAGAGAAAGAAGACTCTCCGGCGAAACGTTAACGGTAAACCAGAGATTTTCCGCCGCAAAAGCTTTTGTTTTCGAATTAAAATTGGAAATGCTCGGAACGACGCCGTGCTGAATCCGCCTGGAACTCCCAAGTTGCCACCGCGAGATGGCTGTAACGCCGCCGTATCTCGCGGATTCGCTACCCTTCACGTTTTTATTCCGTAGTCGATCCGTAATCTCCCCAGACCCTTCATGAAATTCCATCGAGATATCGGCAGAACAATTTGTTCTTGATATTTATAAGGGGATCGATTTGGGAATTCGAGTTTGCGAGGATGGTTTCTGGAGGGAAGGGGGGGTTGGAGAAGCTGAGGAGATGCGTGAAGATATTGTATTTCATGGTGGCGATGGTGGCGTCTCTGCTAGTGTTGTCAGCGCCGGTGCTGGTGGCGGTAGGGGATATCATGGTGCAGTGCGTATTGATTTCGAGCTTCACGTGCATCAGTTGTTACAGTTTCCAAGAGCATTTGCATAGATACACATTCAAGAGTTCATTAACTGACATTCCTCTTGTCTCCATAATCAGATCTCTCGTCATCACCTGTATGTTGACCTTCTCCCGTTTGATATTTGTTTAAAAGTTTCTGAATTCTGTTCACAGATTCTGTTTTGAATTTAAGATAGATTGATATGATTCATAGGATTCTACCATGCCCTGATTCAAAAGTGTTTTCAAATTGTGGTATCGCGAGGATGAATGACCCCTTTTTTTGCTTTCCCTAGTCACTTTTTCAGTCTTTCTTTGATAAAGTCAGTCTTTCTTTGATAAAGATATGCAAGTAGTTGACCCCTTTGGCCAAAAAAGATAAAGTGATCTTAAGGAGTACTGAGTATCCTGCTGTTCTAATTTGAATTTCTATACAAATTGTTAAAGTTAATTGTGTGAATCTTCATCCTTTGAATTACGTGTGTTTAGTATGAACCGCCAAAGTAATATGGCTGTCTGTTATTTCATCAATTCAGGTGTGTATTCCATGTGCAATGGTGCGGCTCTCTCACAAGGACCGTATCTTGGAACTGTGACCCTTTGTTCAGTCATTTCAGTTCTCCTTCTTTCTGTTAAAGCTTGTGTTTTCTCTGTCAATTCGTACCTTGAAGCTGAGGCTTCTACCTCCATCTCCAGGCAAAAGCTCCATTTGAAAAAGTCATGGGGGATGCCTGTCTTGTTTCTCTCATCTGTTGTGTTTGCTCTTGGACATACTGTTATTGCGTACAGAACAAGTTGTAGAGCTAGAAGGAAACTCTTGTTCCACCGCATGGACCCCGATGCTGTAAGTAGATGGATAGATGATGATACTTTCATGCTCTAGCTTCTTTCGTAGTTGAAATGCACATGAACCACTAGTTCCTTATAAGGTTTGTTTGGATATCGGAAGAGCCCGGGAAATGAAAAAACTTTGCTAGCGAGCTAAGGGAAGTTATTTCTTTATGTTTGGCTCTACCTTAGAATATATGGAGTACACAGAAAATGTAATATTTTTAATTGCTTTTGAACTTCTTCATATGTTCAGGTTTCATTGTCCTGAAATTTTCATTAACAACGTATATTTGAACAAATATAAAACAAGGAAATTGTCTCAATATTTCTTTCATTCCATCTTTCCTTCTATTTTCCACCCAGCTTTTGTATCTGTAGTATATTCTGGAGTCCAAACAGACCCTTATGGGATTGTAATTAGGATGTTAATTTGTTATCCCATAACATCTACCTTCTAATGCATTTGACATCTCAATCATGTGTTGTGACTATCGTTTCTATTAATCATGGATCACTTCATCTAATTACAGGTCCTAGCCAAAGTTGTTTTCTCAGGATATCAGAAGGTTCCACGTTCTCCAACCCCTTCAACTGGGAAGGCACAAAGAAGTGACAACGAAACACGGGCAAGGTCTGCAGGATTGGTTCATGTTGATGGTCAACTCCCTGTCAGATTGCTGGCTGATTCCGACAGCTTGTTTATCTCTTGTCTAGGGCTTACCATTCATTACAAGCTATGTTTGCCGGGGTCACCTCCACGTTCATTATCCTCCATAACCTTTCTTGACAGGCCAGCAGTGACTGTTTTATCAAGAAATGAACAGAAACTTCGAAGGAGCTTTAGTAACCAGTTTCATTCTTCATCTCTCTCTACTCCTTTACTAGAGACTTCTCCCAAGTCTCCTGCCATGTCTGAAGATATACCTATTTTAAGCCTATGTGATGGCGGCGCCGAGGATCAGTTCAATACGTTGCCATATCTACTGAACACGAGAGATTTGGAAGCAAATGGTCAGCTTGGCATTGTTTTAGTTCATGGGTTTGGAGGGGGAGCCTTTTCATGGAGAAATGTGATGGCCGTGCTAGCTCGACAGGTGGGTTGTACTGTGGTGGCTTTTGATAGGCCTGGTTGGGGATTGACATCAAGGCCCCGTCGTAAGGACTGGGAGGAAAATCAATTGCCGAATCCATACAAGATCGATTCACAGGTAAATTTCTTGCCTTTTAGGTGTATTCTGGATTTCTGGTTGCATTGTCAGAGAAAAACACATTTATGCCCTCTGAACTTCAAAATTCAAATGTTAGCCTTATTCAGACTTCTAAGGGCCTCAACTTGTAATGTGATCTATTGAGCACTCCCATACTAACTTAGGCTTCATTGAGTTTCTTTTGGCATATCAGTCCAACTTTTCATCAGCGATTTGAATCACAAGCCATTTGGTTGTCATGTGTGCAATCCATTTCAATTAGGCAGATGCAAAAAAATATTGTAACCCTCATTCTTTCATCTTTAGAAGCATAGCACTCAACTTCTCACAATGAAGAAAGTTCTTTTGGGTTGTGCTTGTGACATAATTTATTCAAATCTTGAATGGATACTGAACTAATAATAAATTATGATGATGTATTGCGTTAAGAAGAATTACAAGAAGATACCAAAATTTATTGGCTGGATGGGGGCTTAACACTGTCTTGGCATGCTTAAAATACTTAGGTGAAGAAGTTGGGAGGTTTAATGCCTTTATAGGATGGGTCAACAAGCAAATATTGGGGTCTTATATATGTGTTTTTCCATGCATTGTCTCGTATGACATCCACCATGGATTTCTGATTTTCTATATAAATATACGACTGGTTAAT